TTCATTTGATGTACATTTATATTCTAATATTATTGCTCCATTCGATGTTTTCAGTTAGTCTTGATAAAGAAAATAAAAATTTTCGAAAGCTCGACAAATAACGAAGAAATCTAATTAATTCATTGGTCCAGACTGCATCCCACTAATATTTCCAAGAATATATATATATATATATATATGTTTTTGTACCAAGTCGAGATCCGAATAAATTATGGACTACCCGAGATCCACCACAACAGAAGGACTTCGTTGAGTATGTATTTCACAAATAGTTGCCAAACATCCTCTTCAAACCAAAACCCTAGAGAGGGGAAGAGATTTTTCAATTTGAATTTTTGTGATACTATTCAAACAATGAGAGATCCGATTCGAATTCATGCAAGTTGAGATCCGAAAATGTATATTTCGATATTTAATACACGAGATGAGATCCTGCAATGTTGTCAGATCTGATGTTCGAGGAATGGACACGAACATCTATATTTCTGAATCTATTTTATATTTCCATCACGCACACATGTTGAAATTTCATCATTTCTATAGCAAAACAAATATTTTTGAAGATGATGGCGGCGTGATGCGGCACCCTATTGCTGACAATGAACTAAAATCACATGTAGGGATGAGCGACAGCTTTTTCGAAAGTATTAAAAGCCTGTTCAATAGTATTCAACCAGAAAATTAAAACATATATATAGTGGCACATCATTTAATGAAAAATCTTTCACTTCCTAGCATTCAGACCAATCAAATTGTTCAATCTGATTTTGAGGAGAGTTCACTATTTTTCATCTCTTGGAGCGCACGAGAGCAAATCTCTTTTATGTTCGAGGACCATCGTGCGTACTCAGGGAGAATTGAGGGAGAAGGTAGATATTGGAATTTTCTTTGAACCTCTGAGGATAATAAGTTCTTGAGAATATACTTCCTGTTGTGAAGAATTCGAAAGAATTGCCTTTCTATTGACAAACGAGTTTCGATAAAGAATTGTTCGGTATATTTCGAGGATAAAGACAAAAAATGTGCTGATTGAGCTCATCGAGTACGTCTAACTGGTTTTGCGAGTGAAAAAAATTTCTGAAGAACATTTTCCGTGAGAGTATCATTAGAGAAGTGTAAGGTTACCGACTTTTTTATGGTGTTACGATAGTATCAAAGAATCAGTGAGTGTGGCATCTCCCACCAGACGGATGACTAGTCTCTGCATCGAAGATGAATCTAGCTGTATCAGCATATGTTAAGGTGCTGAATTTCATATGTGAAAAACATATTTCTGAAACAAGCCGTATCTGTGCTTTGTAGATCATCAGAAGCTGTCATGATGTGAAGTTGAATTTCCTAATTTTGATGAAAAAACCATAATCTCCGACCCCAAGAACCCCCTAATAACAATTTTGAATAGAATCGGATCGTAATTACAAAACTCGTCCGCCATATCGGATCCGCTATCCCGTATTTCCTAATTTCAATGACAGAATCATAATCTCCGTACTCGAACACCCCCAGATACCAATTTTGAATAGAATCGGATCATAATAACGAAATTCGTCCGCCATATTGGATCTGCATTCTTGAATTTCCCGATTTTCACGGAATAGTCGTAATTTTCAACTCCAGAAACTCTCACATACACATCTTGAATAGAATCGGATCATAATTACAAAACTCGTCCGCCATATTGAATTCGCCTTCTTGAATTCCCCAATTCCCACGGAATAATCGTGATTTCTGACTTCAAAAACTCCCACACACACAATTTGAATAGAATCGGATCATGATCACAAAACTCGTCCGCCAAATTGAATCCGCAATTTTGAATTTCCTAATTTCGACCAAGAAATTCATAATCTCCGACCCTGACAACCCCCATATACCGATTTTGACTCGTCCGCCATATTGGATCTGCCATTTTGAATTCCATAATTTTTACAGAATAATCATCATCACTGACTCCAAAAACTCCCACGAACAAAATTTTGATAGAATCGGATCATAACTACAAAACTAGTTCGCCATATCAGATCCGCCATCTTTAATCCCCTAATTTTGACCGAAGATTAATAATTTTCGACCCCAAAAACCCCCAGATCACAATTTTGAATCGTATCGGATCATAATTACAAAACTCGTCCGTCATATTAGATTCGCCATCTCGTATTTTCAAATTTCAACGAGGGAATCATAATCTCCGACCCTGAACACGCCCAGATGCCAATTTCGAATGGAATCGGATCATAATTTCAAATCTTGTTTGCCATATTGGATGTGCCATCTTGAAGCACCCGAATTTTACGGAATAATCGTAATCTCCGACTCCGAAAACTCCCACAAATTTCCAAATTTTGACGAAGGAATCATAATTTCCAATCCAAACCCCCTGATTCCAATTTTGAATATTATCAGATCATCATTACAAAACTCGTCCGCCATATTGGATCCGCCATCTTGATTTCGACATAGGAACCATAATCTCCGACCCCAAAAACCACCAGAAACCAATTTTCAATTGAATCGGATCATGGTACAACACTCGTCCGCCATATTGGATCCGCCATCTTGAATTTCCTAATTTTGACGGAGGAATCATTATCTCCGACTCCAAAAATCCCCAGATACCAATTTTGAATAGAATCGAATCATGATGATGACGAAACTCGTCCGCCATATTGGATCCGCCATCTTCAATTTCCCAATTGAAAAAATAGTTCTTCAACTATCGTGCGCAGATATCACATTTTTCGCACGCATATTGGTGCTGTCAGAGTCACTTATCCGCAATAGTGCGGAAAAAACTCTCAACACTCAAATGAGTGCAGAAAAGAGAAATTTGATTTTTTTCCGCTCGCTAGTAGTAAAAATAGTGTACCAAACACATTGCGTGAAGTGTATTTCCGCACTTGCTTCAGGTGAACTACCATTACGACCGATTCTCAGACCTACCAAAGATGCACACAAATTTTCCTAAGAATCGGCAAGCCGTTTCGGTACTATTGGAAATTGGAGGAGTTTGGCAGCAAACACTGTGACAGGAGTGTAGTTCTACCAAACATCCTATTCCACAACCACGAGTTCAATGATATCTAATTTGATGAGGCTCGTTCATTTAATGAAACATACAGACACGTCACAAAAGTACCTACCAACACATTACTTCCATATAAAATAATGAGATACTTCTTTCTACGGCTATAACACAAAATTACCTACTCTTGTTTTACTGTGTTCGATAAATCAATGGGGTACTTTGTATGTTATCAATTTTATTTCCGTATCGGATATCACAATGATTTCATTGTGTTATTATTTCAAATAGATCTAATCTTCCATGGCAAGTCAAAGTTCAAGTAATGACAGTTCTGTCATATATAGATGAGCATTACTTATGAAAAAATCAGATGGCTACAAACGAAGAAATCCAAAATTTTGCTGTTATCTGTAAGAGCCGTAGAAAAACTATAGTGTATAACTCGCACGAAGTGCTGATTTCCCACTCGAATGATTTCAGCATTCACCTAAGGCTCATTCTTCATTATCGTGGGAAATCACGATCATTCCGTGCTCGTTAAACAATATACTAGTTTTACGGCTATAACACAAAATTACTCTTGTTTAACTGTGTTCGATAAATCAATGAGGTATTTTGTATCTCATCAATTTTATTTTCGTATTGGATATCACAATGACTTTATTGTGTTATTATATTTCAAAAAAATCTCATCTCCCATGGCATGTCAAAGTTCAAGCAATGCTAGTTATGTCAGATAGATGAGCATTACTAATGAAAAAATCAGATGGCTTTACAAGCCAAAGAATGGAAAAATTTTGCTGTTTTCTGTTACAGCCGTAGAAAAAGTATTGTGAATAACTCGCACGGAATGCTATGATTTCCCACACGAATGATAGCAGCATTCGCCTAAGGCTCATACTGCAAACTTCATTCTTGTGGGAAATCATTATCATTTCGTGCTCGTTAAACAATAACACAAAATTGATCTTGTCTCACTGTGTTCGATACATTTTTGAGGTACTTTGTATGGTATCAATTTCATTTCCGTATCTGATATCACAATGTTTCCATTGTGATATTATTTCAAAAAAATCTCATCGCCCATGGAATGTGAAATCACAAGCACTGCGACAGCTCTGTCTGATAGATGAAGCATTACTTGAGAGGAAATCAGATGACTACAAGACGAAGAAATCCAAACTGTCGCTGTTGCCTGTTACAGCCGTAGAAAAATTATAGTGCATAACTCGCACGGAATGCTGATTTCCCCCTCGAATGATTCTAGAATTCGCCTAAGGCTCATGCTGCAAACTTTATTCTCGTGGGAAATGACGATATTCCGTGATCGTTAAACAATATACTGTACTCTTCAACTTTTACAACCAGGTTGTAATTGAAAGACGAAGAGCTCAATAAATAATATATTGCCTCCGATGTACTCGTACGTGATTATCATCAGATTCGGAATTAAGGTAACATGTGAATTAATATACCAAATAAGGAACACATTCTGAAAATATTGAATTTGCCGCCGAAATAGACTAACAAAATGAAGCTCAAATTCATAATACAACACTGACTCAGTTGAGAGATATCTGATGCAACGTTGCCAAATAAACTGGATCTCATATTGTCGAGTAAATATCACATACAAGGCGCACAGCGCAGCGCCCCCTTCAGAGCGCTAGGTAGAACTACGAGTGTATAAAAATTGACAAAAATGGTCAAATGGAGATCCGGACTGAAATTTGTGTACCCCCTCCTATGACCTAGGATAACGTAACTAAGATGATATACACATAGAAACAAGTCGAGATCCGTTTCGGATCTCGGCTTGTCGAAACGGATCTCCACTTGTTCAGCTTATATCACCAAATGATCTCGTCTTGTATCGAAAACATATCTATATATATATATATATATATATATAAAAAAGAAGCAGAAAATGTTGAGGTTGACGTTGACACTGTTGACAATGACATAACTGAATCTGAGTGAAAGGGAACTGGGAAGTGAAAGATCTTGAAGAGAAAGGATATTTTTATTAATAAATGAATTATTTAAAATTAATTGAATAAAATGGGATCACATACATTAGAAGCCTAATAAGGTAATTCTTGAATTTTCTAAATCGAAAATTGTGACGCTAGCAAATTAATATACCTGCAAAAGAAAACGTCTGTGAAACATCAAAAAACTCATGGAGTTTAAAATGTTTTCTTTGGAAGAAAATCTAGCCTGAAATTACGGAACTCAGATTCCATTCATCAGAATGATGATTGTTCTTGTAGTAAGTTGATTCATTAGGTTCTTCTCTGCATTTATGTTTCATAAATGATGTCTCATATCAATGTTTTTATTTTAGAATTCTGTTTTGAAGTGGTAATGGACTTCCATAGCTTGTCACAAAGCTCTTCTGTATCAGTAAACAGTTACCAAGGAGAATTTGAAGATAATTGTCTTTCAGTGAACTCAAATAAGGATCCCCTGTTCTATGAGAAATCAGCAACCCTTAAAAATGACTCAGGTTGTGATTTACATTGGGAAGAAAGTTGTGATGATTTATCACTTCAGTCACAATGTTCCTTAATGAACAATAATAAGAATGATCTTTATAATTTGGAGCTTGATATGAAAATAGATTATCATGATAAGATTGATCATCTGTTGAGAAGTAACAGGCAACTGGAGTCTGAATTGAATACTGCAAAGGAGCAAATTCAAAGGTTATTGGGAGACCTCAGATTTGGGAATACAAAAATAGACAATAATTACTTGAGGTTGGAAAAGAAACATTATGATCTTATGTTACAGAATTCAGCACTGCAATTCAATTTGTCCCAAATTCAGATTTCTAAAAGTGAAATGGATGTTAGCAGCAAACAATTACAAATAGATAGAGATAATTTGGAGATTGATGTAAGTACAAAAAATGCTGTTATCACAGAACTAAAACAAAAAATATCCAGTCAGTTTGTAGAAATACATAAATTAACACAGCTATCTAATGAAAAAAACCTCTTGGTGAATCAACTAAACTGTGAGTTACAGCAAGCAAAGAACAGCCATGAGTGGCTAAAAACCCAGCTCAGAAATTGCCAAGAGGATAAAAAATCATTGTTAAGTGAACTGACAAACCTCAAATCTGAATTGATTTCTCAGAAGGAGAAAATATCACTTCTCAGCATAGATAAGGAAAATATCCTGATTCAATGGGAGGCTTTACAATTTGAGAAATCAAAAGACAGGCTCACTGAATGTAAAATGTGTATGAATAGTTTAATACAAAGTGAACAAATACATATTACTGAGAAAAGTCATGATGAAATTTGTTTGAAATGGTGTGAAGAAAACCTGGAAGAACTCAGAAATGAAATTTCACAGCTCAAGGCCTTGATAGTGTTGAAAGATGAGATATTTCAGAAAATAGTGGCAGACAATTCAAGTGCAACTTCTCAATGCATCACTTTGCAGAAAAATTTAGGAGAAACCAATCAAGCTATGGATGCTTTGAAAAATGAAAATTTCAATTTGAAGAAAGAAATGTCACTAGTCTTGAATAGAGAGAAAATTCTAGCTGAAAATTATGAAAAGAAAAAAAATGAAGTGGTCATGTTGAAAGCAGTAACTTTGAGGAATCAAAAAGAAAAAGAAGAAATAGAGATCTCAGTGAATATGATAAGAAATCAGCTTCCAGCATTCAAATTGAAACATGAAACCATGAATAAAGACATCACAGACAAAAATAAACAGATATTAGAATTACAACAAGAAAAACAAAAACTTTATATGGAAAAAAATTGGCAGATATGTGAATTAGAAAAAATCAAAGAAAAAGATGAACTCATTTTTGAAATGAAGAATGAAATTAATGCTCAAAGAGAGAATATCAAAAACTATATAAGCAGAATTGAATCTATAACCACAGAAATGCAAAACAAGGATTCTCTGTATGCTGATCTTCATAAAGAAAAAAACACATTGGTGAGTGAAAATCTGCAGCAGATTCAAAGATATGAAATGGTTCTTCAGCAATATAAAGATTTGTTACTAAACTCTGAAAAAAAATTCAATGATTTGAAAAAATGCTATACTGATAGCACTAAAGCTGTTTCTGATCTTCATGTAGAAATTGAGGCCTTGAAAACAGAACTAGCTCATAAAAATCTTATGGTATCAGAAATGTGTAAGAAATCAGGGAATCAATTTGAAGACATTGAGAAAAAGGAGAATATTATACAAATTTCCAATAACAGGAAGGAAGATCTGCAATCTAATTCCCTGAAAAACTTTGGAAAGGAGGAAAATTGTGTTAAAGATAAGGAAATAGAGAAACTGAATATTTTGTTGAAAGTTAAGGATTTGGAGTCAACAGAAAAGCAAAAGAAGTAAGTGTATAGCAGAAGATTAAGGATTATTTTCGGAAGGAAATAATTTTTCAATTTTGTTCCTAAAAACTGCTTTATAAGAGGTTTCATCTAAAACATGAAAATACCTACTTCAATAGTTTCTTATGTAAATAGCAATATCACAAAAATCTATTTCTATCTGAAAATATAAGTTTGTCTTTTCTTGATTTTGGTAAAAAGAATGTATTTTCACAATTTCCTACAATTCTTACCCAATGCATCTATGAAAGCCTATAAAAAATACATGTGCTTTAAATGGCTCAATGGCTCTGAAGGTGTTCAAATAAATGTAATTAACTACCTACCCATTGAAATAAAAGAATAAAACAGCAAATTATTTGATAAAAAGTTGAAAAAATACCCTATGAATAAACAAACTTAAGGCTTTGTTAAGCTTTGAATTGATTTGGCTACATTTTTAATCTTTTTAAGCACTTGTAAAAATACAAAAACAAATTATGTGATACAGGGTGTCCCATTGGGAAACGGAAAAACTTCAATGGTGGGTAGAGCTCATCAAGGTGGTTCTGAATATACCATATTTGTAGGGTCTCACAAGTTTTATATCCGAGATATAGGGTGTTTTATTAATTTTGCCCAATTCTTTGTGGGGACATAACTTACAAACCACTTAGTATATTCTTTTGCAATTTGGTACACATTTCCTTCTTTTTCTACCAGAGTGATTCACCTATCAGTCACGAAAAAAATCCAGGTCCGGATTAACAAAAGTTGTTAATTTTTCTGGACACCAATAAAAAACACCCTGTATTTTCGAATTCTCAAAATCCGCTTACATATTTGGAAAGTGCACAAAAAGCTGAACCGAATGGTGTACTTTTCATTTTCCCACATGCAATTTCACAAAAGAATTCCTGATTTTGAATTATGGTGTTATGCATTTGAATAGGTAAAAATAATATGTTTTGAATTTTCCCAATCGAATAATATTATCACGAACCACCCAGTATATTCTTTTGAAATTTGGTACACGAGTTTTTCTTAATCGATTGGGAAAACTCAGAACATTTCATTTTTACCTATCCAAATGTATGAATCCTCATATTCAAAATCAGAAATTACCTATAGTGAAATAGCATGCGGAAAAATGGAAAGTACGTCAAACGATTCAGATTTTCATGCACTTGCCAAATATGTGAGCGGATTTTGGAAATTCGAAAATACAGGGTGATATTTTTGGGGTCCAGATATATGATCGATTATCGTTGATCCGGTCCTGGATTTTTCTCGTGACTGATAGGTGCTGATAGGAGTCGCTTTGGTAGAAGAAGGCGAAATTGTGTACCAAATTCCAAATGAATATACTGAGTGGTTCGTAAGTTATGTCCTCACAAAGAATTGAACAATATTGATAAAACACCCTATATCTCGGATATAAAACTTGCGAGACCCTACAAATATGGTATATTCAGAACCACCTTGATGAGCTCTACCCACTGTTGAAGTTTTTCCGTTTCCCAATGGGACACCCTGTATAATTAGGCTATTTTTAATACTGCACTGTAACCAATGTACCTGACAAAATGTACTCTGTATATTTTTAATGTTTCTTTTTTTTTTCGTTATATGTTTTTTAGAGTAAGAACCTTTATATGAAAATGTAATTTTCCATGGTTCAATAAAGACATCCCTTAAAAAATCTATCACAATTTTCTGATGGATATGAAAGGTCCATCAGCAGTTGTTGATCAATTTTTCTGCTTAATTATATAATGTTTATATTGATTTTCCAGTTTTCCACCCTGAGGAAATAGTTAGTTTCATTTGTTTCTAATTTTAAGGCATGAAGTTAATACTAGTACTCTGCTGAGAAAAATTAAAGAGCAAATTGCAGAAAAAAAAGTAATTGAAAAACGATATACCATGGAGTTGAACTGTCTGAAATTAGTACTTGAAACTATAAAAAAAGAGAAAGAAACCATAGAGAATATTATTGTTGAGTTACAAGAAAAACTCGAAAATGTATCAGCATGTAGCAAATGCCAGGAATATAAGAAACAGCTGAATTTTTTGGAGAAGAATGTTGAGGAATCAAAATCTAATTATATTAATTTGAAACAAATGTATGAGGAGAGGAAGATAATCATTGACAATGTCCAAAAAGAGGTGAGGATTTGGTCTCAATAATATCAGATACTTTTTAACTAGCTTTTTAATGTTTTTTTTTTCCACTCAGAATCAAGAATTATCTTCAATAAATTCTGCACTCAATACTGAAAACAGCAATTTGAAATATAAATACCAAATGATACTGACAGAAAAAGCACATTGGTCTGAAGAATTATCTAGCTTGCAAAAAATAACTGATGAACATGCTGAAACAGTCAAAGACTTGAGACAAGCACTGGAGATAGAAACATTGAACCATTCGACAATAAAGGCAGAAAAATCACAGTTGGACATAAAATTTGCAGATCTAATCAACAAAAACGAATTCATTTCAGAGGAAAACCAGGTTGGGCTCAATATTCAAATATTTCAAATACTGGTACATCTCATTCATCATGTGTTTCTAGATGTTGGAGATATCACTGAAAAATAAAAACGACGAACTCATTTCAAATGAGAGATGCAAACATTTGAATGGACTGAAAGGTCAACTGGAATTGCAAAGTGAATTACAGTCCGTCATTAGCGAGAAGTTTTTCTTGCAGAGATTAAACAACGATTTAAAATTTGCTCTAAGAGAACAAGTGAACCTCAACCAGGTAAACACGATATTTTGTAGTTCATATTTCACGTTTCTGTGTGGACTCTCTCATGTCCCACAATAATTCATTAGTACTCAGCGCGCCTCACGAAATTCGTCTAGATTTCATGGAATTCATTTAGAAACTTCGCGGACTTTTTCTGGGACTTCACGGACTCATTTTGGTAACTCTTCAACTCGTGACTTACTTGATACTCAATACTTATTTTCCCTATTTGTTATGAGATTTGTAGGACTTCATGGAAAAAGAAACTGTTGCAATCATTTATACTACTCTGAGAATGTTGGCTTTTTTCTCATTTTACATATTTGAACTTTGATTTTCTTCAATTTTTGATATCTCAGAACCATTGAATATCTGAAACTTTAAAACTATCAAAGTACAGACTATTTAAATGATGAATTAATGAAGAATTCAAATGCAGTGTAAGTTCAATTGGGATGTTTTCAGATTCTTAAAGAGGGAGTTGTTAAACAACATTCTTTCATGAGTTTGCCGAATATTGTAAGTGATGTACGAAAGTATGATGAGAACTACATCAACAGTGTGCTTGAGAAAAACAAGAGGTCGTTTGGACAAGGCAAATTTTCTGAAATACACAGTTGCCTAGACTCAATGAGGAAAGATATTTTAGCCATTCAAGAAGACATAGTTGAGAAGAATAAGAAGTATTAGAAGATTCTCCGTCCATTATGCTTTTGCTTAGTGAGATCTTGGTAGGAAAATTAAAGGTAAGTTAATTATTGTTTTGTAAATCAAACTATACTATTTTTATTGATACACTTTGGATCTACTGACTTGAATATTCGCATATTTTTTCACCTGATCAGATATTTAATTGAGATATTAATCAAGGTGGAGACCATTAATGGTTCACTAGAGAATGATTTCTATTTTAAAACAATATTTTTCATTCAGTATATGTACTTAGCTTCTATAGTATTCAAATTATCTGTGATCTAATATTATAATATATTGATGTTGGTTAGTGGTAGTATTTATTATACAAATAAAATTGTTTAATATATATTATTTCAATAGTTTTCGTTGTACTACTATTGTCATCTTGAAAACGGTAAATGAGAATGAAATTGTTCAAATTATACAGGGTGGCCCACGGTCGATGGTACCTTAGACGTATACGGAAAACGGTACATTGGATTATCCTGAAAATTTGGTTACTCTAATAAGCCTTTGTGATCTAACGATTCAAAATATTTTCAGCGAAGCAGCGTTGCCACTTTTACCAAAAAGTAGCATCATCTTTGTTATTTCAAATGGAACACCCTGTATTTTATTGCGTTTTTAGATTCTTCTCGAAGAGCTGATTTCATCGATGTATCACACTTGGGGTCTAGAAGGAATTATTACAGAGATATAGGGTGTTCAAAATCGAGATTTTTCAACTTTAGGATTTTTTTGTGTCGAAACTATCCATCATTGGTCAAAACGGCTTACATGTCCCTATATTAACTTTTGATTAACTATCTACCAACATTTAATTGGAAAAAATACAGGATAGTCCAAGATTCAGAATTTTGATCACCCTGTATCTGTTCCAATTAAATGTCAGTAGATAGTGAATCAAAAGTTAAGATAGGGACATGTGAGCCGTTTTGATCGATAATGAATAGTTTCGACACAAAAAATTCCTGAAATTGAAAAATCTCGATTTTGAACACCCTATATCTCTGTAATAATTCCTGCTAGACCCCAAGTGTGATACATTGATGAAATCAGCTCTTCGAGAAGAATCTAAAAACGCAATGAAATACAGGGTGTTTCATTTGAAATAACAAAGATGATGCTACTTTTTGGTAAAAGTGGCAACGTTAGATCACAAACGCTTATTAGAGTAACCAAATTTTCAGGATAATCCAATGTACAGTTTTCCGTATACGTCTAAGGTACCATCGACCGTGGGTCACCCTGTATAGAAAGTTGTCTAACCCAGTGGCTCAAAATGTTTTTATTTCTGACAAATTTGTTCTGATTTGCTATTGGCTTCCAAAATAGACAACCCATTGCAGTGCATCATAAAAAATATAGCCTGTTATGTATATTATAAAAAAGTACTCAACCTGAACCTTTTTTCAACCATATTCTAAGAAATATTCTAGTAGAATGATAAAAAACTGTAAAAATGAACAAACCTTACAATAGAGAAATTAGAACATTAATAATTCTAGTATATATTAATAGTATATGCTGAATACTTTATGGAATGGTAACCCTTTCTCCAAAATTTCTTTAGCATGTTTCCTCCTGAAATCCCAGAGAAAATGGTCGACAAGAATTGAGTTGATTTTACCAGATCTCAGTTTCTTCACGACATATTTTTTCAAAAGTTCTGCCGCTTGTATCGTGCATCCCCTTATTTCAACCTCATCTATCTCGCCATTCTTCAACACTGTATTACTCCTCAGTTTTCCTAGTAATTCGTCGCTGTATTGAAAAACCCCAAACCAAAGGAGAGTTTGAGGTACCCTATAGTCAGCAAACGCGGTTATTTCTTCGATATCCTCAAAATGACCGATATCCTGGTTTTTAAAGCAGGCCCAGATATCGCCCACTAGTATCTGCGCCCTTTTATACAGCCCAACTCTCGTTCCATCGAACTCTGCCTCATCTCTGAAGCAAGGAAAGTTTTCTACTATCAGCTTCAGCAATTTAACGGCACTGTTTTGGGATTGTTTGACTACATTCTTGAAGGAGCCATCGAACTTTTCCAGCAGAACATTCCCAACCTCGTGCAAGCATTTCATTCTTTCCTTGAGAAGAGGCGCTTCTACTTTGGTGTCACTCCTTAAAATGTTCTTCAGTTGGGCTTCTGTTATCACAGAATAAAAGAGGGGGTCCAGGATATTTACCTACAAGAGTTAGATTCTGAGAGAATTAGGTACATTGTCAGATAAGAAATTATTGCCGTGACAAGTTTTTTTTATTTTTACATAAGTGAAAAATCAACCAGTCCTATTCAAAGAACTGGATATTATATATTATTAACTGGGAGACCTAGCGAGGCTACTGTTTCGGTCCACCAGGGCTCATCAGTCGCTCTCGGTCTGCTAGTTATTTTAGGACAAGGGACAGTACGCGTTGGGTCGAGGATATCGGATGGAAACATAAGGATCTAGTCATGTTATGGTCATCTAGGGTCGTAGGATCAAAAGGAGTAGGCTATAGGCTGCGGCACAATTTAATTTTCATGTCATTATATTGTGTTGAGCTTGATAATTTGAAGTATAAGAATTATAAAATGAACACACAGGTCCTTGTGACGAATGACGGAACACAAATTTATGAATTAGGAAATACTTTTCATGTTTTAAGATACGGACGGTGATTGTTTTTATGATTTGAAATTTAGAGGCCCGACCAATCACAGCAGTTCTTGGTGTTGTGAAAAGTATAAAAACAATGCACATTTTCATGATTATAATAACTTCGATTCACTCATCACATAATCTGACTAATTACAAGCCGTATACAACGTGTGCTCAACGCGAAAACATAAGCTGTCTTTGAATTCTGATTGGTCTATCAGCGTTGATGTTTTCAACGATGTAACCATGCATAGCGAAGCAAAGTCTGCCCGTTTGGCATAAAATAATTATGGTTGTAATTGTCAGAATGAATCACTCATTCATGATAAATTCTTTTTATGTTTCTTGAACGCGAAATAGTCTAGCAAAATACCACTCTCTCCTGACGGATTCGTGGTGTTGTTCGCCAACACGATTTCGTGAACAATGAAACGACAGAATTATCTGGAATATTCAGAACGTCGTGATATTACTTATAACAATATAAGCGAAAATAATACGCTGAACAGGAAATACCGCAAATTGAAAAATATTCTGCCACGCCTCTCAAACAACGTTATTGGTGGAATTCCAGCTTTTATACATATTTTATATAAATACAAAAAGCTTGAAGTCATGGTTTTATATTTTGATTCTGTTTGCCTCCTGCTTTTATTTTTGTTGAGTACATATATCTCGAATCTTGACCGTCAAAACTTATTGCATAAAACTTCAATTGTGTGGCAGTCAACAGAATTATTGGTTACCAAAACAAACAGAGAAGAATGTATGTCTACCAGACCTGTGAAATTATTTCAATTTAACATTTTCAAGGGCAATAAAATGATAAAGTCACATATTTCCTTCATGATAAAAATTAACATTAATCCCAGTATAAGGACTGAACCATTAATAAAAATGTTCCTATTTTCCGTCTGGTCTCTGAACATTTCTTGAAAATTTTCAGTAGCATTCACACCTATACAAAATTTGTGTAATAATAGGAATAAAATTTGAAGACAATTATACATCCAAGATTTTCCTTCAACATTCACGTTTGGAAATGTGAATTGATGACCAAAATTAATAAATGTTCAATTGGTTTCCGTGTATAGTTGAAACAGAAATAAATAGCGGAGTAACCAGTTGAAACAGAAATAAGAAAGAATATTTCAGAAAATATGTCAAAAACGCGGCTTTTTTTCATCAAAATATTGATATGCTAATAATTAGCCAGACTTTAGAGATTGGTTCAACAGTTATTATTCTGCAGAAACTGAGTGAATATCAAGCTTTCCAAAATTGATTCACTTTGTTCTCTGTTTATTGTGCACGAGACGAAGTTTTTCACGCGTTCTTCTAAATATGCTATCCTACCAAAATGAACTACTTTTTTGTATTGTGATTATGTTAAAGTGAAATTTATCAGATATTCTTGGTTGTATACAATATATTTGTTGTATATGTAGCATAATTTTGATGAAATTATTGTAAAATGGGTGTATAGTGTGTTATTGGAACATTCACCTAACCTTTTCATTTATGGCCCGATTTATAGCAGCGCACAATGCAAAATACCCTGTATATCCTTCGACTTCCCAACCATCTTGGTTTTCATATTTCCAAAAGCAAAAATTCAGAGTGTCCACGACGAAAATCCATTCCACAGCATCCGGATCGGTACATTGTGGATGCACATCAGTTTGGCTGAAGTTCTCAGGTGACAGTTTTCCCGAAGTGATTTGTTCTGCTAGAATGTCTCCTAGTTTTATGATACCTTCTTCTATTATCTGAATATGTTTGGATCGTGAAGAAATGAGTTCTGCCGCTTCCCTGGGCGCCAAAATCATCCTGAAATTCCTAGAAAATAGTAGAAATACAGATGCTGACCTGTTTTGGTTTGGTCTTCTTGTGGAATTTGTAGGTTTTTGTCAATCCGAGTAATTCTGCTCTCTTTTACTGGATTAAATATAGCCCGCAATAATATGGCCGGATAGCCCAAGGAGCATTGAACGTCTCAAACATTTTTCGTAGCTCTTCGCAACAGATAAAGAAGTTCTAATACACCAATAAGTTATCTACTATAATACAGGGTGATTCCGAAATTGGGGCGATCAGTGGAATGGATGATAGAAGACGAAACAACAAAAGGAAATAAAAGAATACATTTTTGGCGAAAAAAAATTATTTGGAAGATATATTGATGAGCATCAAAATTTGTCTAAAATTTTTGAAAATCATTGATCAGAGGTGAACAGCCCAACCCAAGCGAGATCACATGCACCGTGAGTATCAATGGCTTCTGCAATGTTGCCGGACGATCAATAATAGTTGAAAATGTAGTTATGGTGGGAGCGCACATTGTTTGAAAAATGTTCAAAACAATGTTTTCTTGTGATTTATCGTGTCATTTGTCTCATAGAACGCCCCAATTTCGGATGCCTCTATATGCCCTATTTTTCTAGTTATTTTGAAAAATCTGTCGACTGCCTGGTCACTATGAGCTCTGCAGGGATGTAGAAAATGTGCGTGTACACCTCTGTAGAACTTTTAACTCAAACCATGTTTATATAATGATCCTTTAATACATAAATGATGATTGACGACATAATTCGATCGAAAAATTAACTGGAATGTTTTATTTTTGGACATAAATAATAGTACCTTCTGAAAACGGACCTTCTTATGACGTAGAAACCTTATGTCGCCATAGTTATAAAAGAAAATACCAAACCCTCGACGGAGACTGAGGCAACTGAGATATTAGAGTCCATCATGCCAAGACGATTTACCGAAAAATTAACAGTATAACCTTTTTCGATTTCGAATAAGAATCAGAACGGGCTGAAATCTTGTATACAGAAAGTTCTCGATATGCTGAGCACGAATATGCACTATGCTTCTCCCTAACTACCCTAGTTTTGTAGTTATTTTGAAATTTCTGGCGACTGCCCGGTCACTGAGATTCCCATACACGAAATATATTCATAACGTCATTTTCTGCGAAGGGAAACTGAGGCTTCTGCTTGGACGGGACGTAGACAATTGTTTTAGAGGCATCCATGCCAAAGTCGAAGGCTACGACGATTTCGAAATTTTCGCTCGAAAAATAATAATATATATTATATTGCTTTTTTTTTGACTTCGTATAGAAATCAGAATGGCCGACAACTTCTTCAGCACATCCCAATTCGTCTCCAGAATACTGCTATGAACTGGAATCCGATTTTCTGGGATATAAGGATCGCGAACAAATTTGGCCCGAAACGGGGTCAAAAATTACCTTTATTCAAATGTTGAGACTAGAGAGCTGTGCTTCTAGGACAAAGTTGACTTTTGGGTCTGAAAAAGGAACAAGGTTAACCCCTTTGAACTTTTTTCGAGTATCGATTATTCTCAGAATGGGATGAAAACTTGTATACAGGGTCTTCTCAGTCAGTTTTCCGTTATATCTAATAGTTTTTGAAATGAGAGCAATTTCAGTAAAAATGAATGAACCTTGCAAATTCGCTGAAAACTTCTTCAACACATCCCAATTCGTCTCCAGAATACTGCTATGAACTCGATTTCGTAATATCTTCAAGAGTTTTTTTGGATATAACAAAAATTTGCCCGAAACAGGGTCAAAAATTACCTTTTTTTATTTTGGAAAGCTGTGCTTCTTCTAGTCCGCACTAGAGGGTGTCTAAAAGGGTCATAAATACCAAAATTTCTAGGGCAAAGTTGTTTTTTTCGATTATCGACTAGTATCAGAATAGGCAGAAAACTTGTATACATACGAATATTATATCGATTTTCCCCTCTCTAATAGTTTTTTGAAAATATGAGCAATTTTAGGAAAACAAAATGAGCCTCAAAATCGCTGAAATCTTCCTCAACACATCCCAATTCCTCTCCAAAATGCTGCTATGAACTCAATTTCGCATTATCTTCAATAGATTCCGACGAAAAAAAAAATTGGCCCGAAACAGGATAAAAAAAAATCGTATTTTTCCAAGTGTGAGGAATTAGTTGGTTTTTGAAATAAATCTTGAAGACTGTTATATTACATTTTATTGCAACAATCTCTTAATTATATATAAATAAATATTTAGAATATACACATTTTTATAATCCATTTCAACCTACAATAAAATTTACAGTATTTCATTCACCTAAAATGATAAAATTGATTTGAATTACGAAAGCCAAGGAGCGCCCCGCGAAATTTCTAGTGTGTTGAAGTAACAATACATCATGCATCATAGCTCCCACTTAGCAAATTTGGAAGCTATGTTGATGCAAGGATGTAGCAATTACTAAAACGGACGTTCAGCAATATTGCAAATATAAATTTGTGAATGTAACGTTCCAGCAATGTCACAGCAACATGTAATATGCAACGCTACATTATCAAACTTAACCTTCACAATATTGCTGAACGTCCGTTGCTTCAGCATTGCATCAACATAGCTTTAAACTTTGCTTAGTGGGCTGGGGATTGTTTTTTTAATAACTAAACCCCGAGTTTTCTTCATTTAAAATTGAAAAATTGCGAGGGGCTTCTCAGATGCGCTCTCGTAGAACAAAACCATTGTGGTTTTTGGTAATTTACACGCTTTCAGTCATTATTCTAAATCGAAGATACTGTTGAACACAGCCCATTTTCAGGAATTCGAAAACTTCTTGGAACATATTCATTTCATTTAGATTGGAAATTACTTTCACACAATATTCAATACCCATAGTTCTTATTTTAGAGAAGTATGTTCAAAAGGTGATAGAGGGATGGCTATTTTCGAAACGCGGAAGCATAAAAATACAGAATGTTCAAGTAGACATTCTCTTTTTATTTACAAAATCTGCATTTACATGGAGTTCACGTATATTTTCGGAACCCTCGGTAGAATTTACTATCATGAATACCAAATAAATATTGCATATTAGGAAGATTTTGCAGTTTACAAAATAAACTATACAGGGAATACTAAATTATATACGTGATCCCCCTGTACAATTCGATGGAGTATGCGAGAAGATTTCAGTATTTGAATGCATATTTTCAGGATTGATCGTCTGCTGTTTTTGTTCTCATCGTTCTTTATTATGTCAACTGCCCCTTGCCTACGCCACTGCAACAATTACATCATACAAAAAATAACGTCACACTGATATATGGTGTTTCTACTACCAGCTCTAGAACCTATAACACCATGTATGCTACTACTGATTACGAATAAAAATATATTTATACATAATGTAGGTACATTATTAGGGAGAGAGTTTCTTCATCCCATGTATGTTCTCTGTAGGCTTTGTTACTGATTCCATGCGCCACCTAAGGAGCAAAACCAGTTTCATGAATAGTAAAGATTGTAGGTGGAAAAACCATTTCATTTGGAGAATATGTGCTAGTAGTTGAAAATGTAACAGTACAGAAGACTTTCGTGTCCCATTTACTTATTTCCTTCGATGATTGAGCATCTCGCGAATTAGATTTATAAATTAGTTTTTCCACTACTAGGGCATATTCCTTAATAACACGTTTTTTTTTACCTGAAATCTTCACTTTCTCATGAATACTACATGTTGACATATTTCAGGTGATAATCGAATTCATAGCGTTTCAGAGATAGATGATATCAATTGTTTTTTTTTAGAAAGTGTTTTTGAAATAAGTGCACATATTCAGCACATCAATATGATATTCAGTCTAAGAAATATTCCCATGATATCAGATTTTTTCTAATTCTTTTAATTAACGAGGAATTGCATCCCGAAAATTGAACAAAATACGAGAAAAAATTCAAGTATGACACTTCAAAACAATTTAAATGATTGAACTCCGCGTGATTGTGCCTACCGCATGGAAATTTCAACAGAGGTGACGTCAGATCTGCTACAGTGTAGAACTTTGGGTGGAAAAAGGGGTCTTACCTCAAATTTCATTCTAATCCCTAATTTTTTTTATTAGTGCCATTCGATAGTACACGTCGAGCTTTCTCAGTGTTTGAAATATTCGCAATGCCACCCTGTATATGATGGTGTGCTCAAGAGCTGGTAGTGGAAACAATTGTTTACGAGATTCAGATGTCGAGTCTTGAAAATACATACAGGCAAATCAACAGAGTAATAATTCAATCGGTTATTAATAAGGCGTTAACATTTTTCAAGGCGAGATAGGTATGTGTTACGTTCCTCTTTGCACACACTGTATTTATTTAATTAAATTGAAAATTGAAGAAGTGTCATTTTCAAATTCAACTGAGAAATATAAGAGATGTTTCATTACAATATACAGTTGAATTTTGGCTCAAAAAACACCGCAACTGTTTTGAGAATTCAATATTATAATAATTCAATTGTATCGACTGAACTTTCACAAATTGCACTGAATCTCCAGTCTATTCCCGGGATTATTTGAGCTTTGTTACCTCAAAACAATTAATTGCAACATGATTTCGTACCTAACAAGGAACATGAGTGTATATCAACAAGTTGAGATTCGGAAATAACAGAAAAAAATACGCAGAACGCAGAAACGATTAAAGCTGTTTCAAGTTTTCGAAATATTAAAAACTAAGAATCACAACATCGTCACAATAACAAAGATTATAGTAATTAAACTCTATCACATCCTACCACTAAAACAGGAAAAACGAAACGTCTTCATATAAATTCAATAATCTGAGCGATATTAATATATCATAACACTGTTTTTTACCCTATCTATCTGGATTTGGTTGATTCATGAAACAACGATAAAATTCTTCAAATAGGTACCCTCTAACAATATTACCAATTATTATTACCATATTTTTTCATATAACTACTGATATAATTTGTTCCAATCAACACAATAAATATTTATCAATATACAA